ATTTCGTATTTGTGTGAGAGTGTTCTCGTTTATGTTTTCGCTTCCGCTTTGCGCAACAAATGGTTTGTAAGGATTCCCACTTGGGCTCTCCCTTAGTTTCACAAGCTTTAGTCATGTGGCATATTCTGAAAAAGAACATATATATAAATCCAATAGAGGTGCGACATATTATAAAACGACAAAGTATGAAATAAAATTTACCTTCCACCATATTTTTCACATTCCAATAGGGGCATGGACAGCATTGGTTGTTTTATCTCAGTAAACTACGGATGTAGAAAAACTGAGTACCTTTTTTTTTTACAAGTTATTATACACTGTCATGCCATCATATGAGATGTTTGTACCTAAGTCGATCTTTACAATGCATCGGATCATAGAAATAACATGTGAATTGATAGCTATATAGGTAGTGTTTCTCGTCGCTTCAACTTCTAATGTTTGAATAAAGAGTTTATCCATCTCTTAGTACATGAAGTTGTATAGAAGAAAGAGTATTGCAAGGGAAGGCCTGGTTAAATTGACGGAACAGCTGTATGCGTGCTTTTGATGGCTTGTTTGATAGTTTAATGTTGCCTTTCTTATACACAAGCTTCCATCTCAATTATTTAAGATTTTTATTTTGGAATGAGATTCTAAGAAATAGATATATATGTATTTGTCAGAACTTTCCTTCGAGAACTTTGCTATTCAAGATTTTCATTATCAAATTACAACTTTCCTTCTCACTCAATGTGAATGGCTGAAAATTTCTTTGTTCCACTAAAGTAATTTTTTTTTAACATTTTCATTATTGTTTCTAATAAAAGTTATATTGAATTTTCCAATATTGTTCAATTTCTACTGTGATACATATATATTTTATAGACCTTTTTCATCCAATAAGGCGTTATCTACCCCTTATCACATGTACCAACCTTGTCGTGAGTATCAATTAGTTCTTATAAATACACCATACTATGTTTACTTTTTTATTTGATTATGATATAGAACTATTTTTTTTTCTTTCGAAAATCCGATGTAGAAATAATTTAGTTATAATTAGTCTTTGGCAGTCACTAAATTACTAATTCATAGCATACAAACAAAATGCCTAAATGCTGCTATGATTTTGAAGAAAATTAGATGAGAAATTAGATTCCTCCAGAAAAGAAAAAAAAAGTTGTTCTTCCACTCATCATTAGCACATGCCTGATTAATACGCTCTTTTATTGTATCCATATTATTTTTTTTTCTTATCGTTTTTTCATGTAAACGGATAGCGTGAAAACCCCAAGTCCACCAATCATGATTCATAAAGAAACTTACTAAACTCATAGAGTTAACTACAGATGTCGGCCTCCCTCATTTTTTTTCCGAACTTGAAAGAATAGCATTGAAATCACCGGCACACAACCAAGGCACACAACCAAGGCTTGATTTATAAACTGGCTAGCTTTCTTGACAAACTCCACAACTTGTGTCTATGCATCTCGTTTGGGTCTCCACAGAAACCTATAAATCTACACGTGTTATCTGCCTCATCATCGTACACATGAATGTCAATATGATTTAGCGAAAATCTTTGTATAACTCCAGCGTGATGTCCTTTGTCCAAATAAAACCAAGACCCCCCGACGCACCTCTCGTATCTACTGCTACTCCGTGAAAACTAAGATGTCTCGCTACAAACTCAAATTTTTGGCAGATAACTTTGCTTCTGATAGAAAAATGATTTGAAAGTTATCGACTCGAATCAGATCTCCTAGTGTAACGCATTTTAGAGAATCATTCAAACACGATATTTTTTTTTATGAAAAACCACCAATGCGAAAACCATCCGATTAGATCTGCATAACACAATGGAGAAGAGGACAATAAAACAAGTAATCTATGGAACAAATAATAGGGAAACAAGAAGGAAAAAAGTGACCTGCCTCTCATGTCTAGAGAAAAAAAACCTCTCATGAAGAGAGAACTTTTTTTTTTTATGTTTGTGGGGACGCCCTGAAGTATGATCAAATAACCTACAAATCCCTGTGATCTTGGTAATTTATAAAAATATTTTAGGAAAAATGTACGAGGGAAAAATAATTAATAATATTAATTGTGTCATGTACTTTTTAGATTTGTCATTATGACGATAAAAAGAACTAATAATATTGCCAAACCTTGAACAACTAATAAAATTTTAAAATAACTTATAAGATAGCTTTATATTGAAAACACCTTATAAATTAATTTATATAGTAAGATGTAACAATTTATTAACTCGACATAAATTATTTTTCTTCAGATATTTAAAATAAATTTAACAAATCGATCGTACTCTTGATTACATTTGAAAAAAGTTGAAGTATACTGGTAGGTAAAGGTGAATTATACAATGAGTAGATAATTAAACAAATAACTCATGTGAGGATAAGATGCTATAGGCTAGCTCAAATTGAAGAGAATCAAACAATGTAATACTGTATTACACCCTGTTAGTCAAACCAAACTGACCCCAAATTAGTTATTAATTTTTAATTTTGATAATGAATGAAGATCTAGTTGCATGTACATAAATTAAGAAATCAATTAACTAGTCACTATTTGATAATAAACTTTGAAATGATTGTTTTTCCAAGTTAATTAGCGTGGTCATTAAATATTAGGGTTATTTTGCAGATCCTCTCGTTTCTAAATTATATAGAACTAACTACTAAGTGGATTACACTCTAGGGAATATTCCCCTCATTTTGAAAATATTTTGACATACCTCCCTCGGCCTCCCTGAAGTCCCTATAATACATTTTTAAAATCAGTTTTAAACCCTAGCCAATCACAATGGTCACTCTCTTCCTCTCTCAAATTCAAATCCCCCCTCTATATATCTCTAACTGGCGAAATTACTTCCTGGAGTCATAACTCTCTCTCCGGTGGTCGGAATTCGATGGTTTAACTACCGTTGGATTCCTCTCGTCGAGATCTTTCTTTTGGTGGTGATTTCATTCAGTTTGGAGGGCTCGATCTGTTTCTGCAATTTTTTTTCCATTCGACGACGGTGGTCTTGCCGGAGGTGTATTTTGTGTTCCACCAGTCGAAATTTGATGGGCTACCCACCGTTGGATTCGTCTCGTCGAGAACTATATTTTGATGGTAATTTATTTTATTTTTATGTTTTCAGATTTATTTCTATAATTTTTGCATTTGTGGGCGCGCGAAACCGTGGGTGGTTATTAGCGGCGGCGAGGGTTTTGGTAGGAGGCGAGGGGGGTGAGGAGTCACTGTCTGTTTGATTTAAAATCTGTAGGATTTCCCAGCAATAACCTCTCTCTCTCTCTCTATCTCTTGATCTCTTAGTGTTTGTTGATTTTTTTTAGTGTTTTGATGTTTCTTCAAATTTTATTGATTTGCACTAAAGTAAATTTTTTTTTTTGTTTTGATTTTGCAATTGCAGCTTGATGAAAGCCTTTGATCCTCACTTTGAAGGTGTCAAAAATTTAGTTGAAGTTACATATGCTTCAAGTTAAAGTGTTCAACAGACTGTATACATTACTATACATTACTATACATATAGTAATATGTAGTTACATATGCATATATTTGTGTATTTTCGATTTGCATTTTATTGGTTTTGAGGTGATTTATAATAAAAATATTGAAATTTGTAAATTTTTGTTGGAGCTTATATATGGATTTCTTTTGTATAAGCAGTATTCGTGTGTGTATACAATTGATCGATTGTGTTAAAAAAACGAACATATCTACGAATTACTATAGTTTATTATAATTACATGTAGTTATTTTCACTACAGTAAACATATTAATTTGAAAATTAAAAAAAAAGTTAAAAAATTAAAAAAAAAAATATATATATATATATATATATATATATATATAAATTTAACAAATATGTTTATTAGTAAAAAGAAAAAAAAAATAATAAATAAATCAACGTAAATGCTAAATGCAGGACTAGAAATGCTGAATACAATTTGGCAAAAAATTGCATATAAAGATAATAGTACACTTGTCCAAAGATATGTCAAATAATAATTTGAGCTTGAGTTTATCGCTAATTTATTTGGTGACAACTGGTACGCAAAGTAATCCCTTAAATATTTAACAAACATTCTTCTTATTAATCTCATATATGTTGTCGTCTGTAAAAAAATGTTTTTTACGATTGAATTTTATACTCCGATCCGTATAAGTGAGGCCTCGTTGAATTCAATCAATTAGAATAAAATATAGGGTAAATTACACTCACACCCCTGAGGTATACTTAAATAACTTAGGTCCCTGTGGTATCGATAATTACACTCACCCCCTTGAAACGTAGTTATAAACTCTAATGGTATAATGCATTGGATACATTATTACGGTAGAGTTCTAACGGACTATTGATTTCAGGAAGTGGTGAAGACAACAAAAAGTTATGGGTGATTTCAGAAATATTGGGGGAGCCATGTCACCCCATAACTCCCTATAACTCTATGTTATCTCCACAACTAGCTAAAGTAATAGTCCATTAGAACCCTATCGGAATAATGTATCCAATGCATTATCCCGTTAGAGTTTTTAACTATCTTTCAGGGGGGGTGAGTGTAATTATCGATACCACAGGGACCTTACAGTTATTTAAGCATATCTCAGGGGTGTGGGTGTAATTTATCCTAAAATATATTATATGGAAGTTTGTAGATTATGTTTGGGGTATAGGACAGATGTAAGCACACTATTTCGTCATAGAGCCTCGTACGGGCAAGTGGCTATGATATGGTTATCCCTCTTGTCCTGTCGTTTTTGTTTGCAATAAACTTTGAGTTGATTTATATATAATTAATTGGAACATAGGGTGACGAAAGGTGTTGAGAGCAACGCGTGTGATTCGTCAAGACAGACGTGTCACTCCAATCCTCCTCCGATCCTCGGATACATAGCATACGTGTCATCTATTCGTGCCTCCATTTTATCCTATATAAATCCCGGCCCCATAATTATCTTCCCCTTGTCATACGTGGTATAGCAAAAGAAGTACAAATTATACAATCTGATCAGTTGGTAATTTAAGAGAGAGAGAAGAGAGAGAGAGAGAGAGAGAGAGAGAGAGAGAGAGAGAGAAAATCAATAAAAATGGCTTCACAGCAGGAAAGGTCTGAGCTGGACGCGAAGGCTAAACAAGGAGAGACTGTGGTTCCCGGGGGCACAGGCGGCAAAAGCCTAGAGGCCCAAGAACACCTTGCTGAAGGTACATATATTACGTGTTTTGTTTTTTATTTGTTCATTACAACTATATATATATATATGTATATTAAAATGATGAAATGGAATTATTAAAAAAGGGAGGAGCCGAGGAGGGCAGACAAGGAGGGAGCAGCTGGGGACGGAGGGGTACCAGGAAATGGGGCGGAAAGGAGGTTTGAGCACAGGTGACAAGTCTGGTGGCGAGCGAGCTGAGGAAGAAGGTGTTGAGATCGACGAGTCCAAGTTCAAGACTAGTAGTGGCTAGATCACACTTCTTTTTGTATATATTTGCTCTGGATACACACCCACCCCAGTTTAGTTTCTCTCTCTAGGTTTATAAATTAGCTTTGTCTTTGTTAATAAAGGGATGTCTTATATGTCCTCAGCTCATAATAATTAGGGTTTATTATTATTATATAGTTTCTAAGATGATATATGTATGTGTGTCGTGTAATTAGTAGCTCGGCTATGGTCAACTGACGGGGTGTATTCAGGCAAATTAAATCTTCTTTAAATATGGTTGTGGATCTGTGTTGTTTTTATTTTCTTAGTTAATAGTTAACTGGTGCCTCGCGGCTGCCTGAAAAATATATTCTCACTTATCGTGAGACTACAATAACCACCCATATATGCATGAAATGGTGAAAAAAAAAAAAATATAATGATCCTAAACCCCTGTGAAATTTCTTGAGATGGTAATGGGAATCCATTGTTAAATAGGTCCAACATTCTTTAACCACCTCATAATTTCAATACAACTGTTACAACACGGCCACAACGACCTACCCTTTTTTCTTTTCCCAAAAAAAGGACTGCATTTACATAGAATCTTGAATCACGCGGACAGGTCCGTTCCTGAAAATTCGGGGTCTCTAGGCGAGGTTTAAAGAACTAACTTGAAAACAGGTACTCTTATTTGATAAACTATTTTTTTTATTAGTGGGTGTCCGAAAGTATCAAAAAAATATAAGTCATATTTTTTAAAATGATGAAATAAAAGATTATGCGGGTTCTGGGGCGGTGATAAAGTATCTAAAATTATGGAAAAAAATTCAAAATTAACAATATTATTTGTTGGTTCACTTTTTCGGCGTATAATCTTTATAGTAAATAGACTTCATAAATATTTATAAACTTGAATACACTAATGAATATTGGTTCTTATTTTAGAATAAAAATAAGTAATTAAGATATTATAAAATTAATATTTAGGGGCTCCAAAGTTAATAAAATTGCAAAAATATCTATTGATCATTTAGCTAAAATTTATTTTAGAATTGATGTTACAAAATATTTTATATAATATTTTTTTAAAAATAAGTTGTTGGAACCACGGCTGCAATTTGACGATTGATCATGAAACTTGTGGATGAGGCTTGGACTCCATTTGTTCTTTAAGTTTATAGGTAACAAGTTGCTGCAATAAAAACCACGATAACGTGGAGATATGCAAGGTGAGGCGCGAACTAGGTCGCTCTCTTAAGACGAATTTCACGACCCCTTCTCTAATGAGGTGCAAAAAGGTTCCGATCGTGTCGCCTATGGGATACAACAGCCCAGCCTATCTCTCCGCTGTAACTTCACCGAAATTGCACGTTCGAGTGAAGTAGAAGCTTACACCCGACACACAACAAAAGCTCAAAGTATAAGTATATAGTATAGAAGAAAAATGTTTATTTTTCTCTTCACTCTCATACCTTGTAAAACCACAAAGTCCCATTTTTATAATATAAAATATGACCACCATAAAACCTCTATTTAATATAGAATTAAAGGAAAATATTGAGGTTTTATGAGACAAAATAATGCCTTTGGAAGTTTCAAAATTTTGCTCTAAATGACCTCATAAATTGGTCAAATAAAATATTTAATAAAATATTTTTTTTATTAAAAAAACCCAACAATCCCCCACTAACATATAGTGGAAATAAAATATTTGGGGCCCCCAAATTTTCGTAAAAATTCAGGGGCCCTAGGCGACCGCCTACTTCGCCTCCCCTGCACGCCGAGGTGTCGAACCGTTCTGCTGGGGGATTTCGGCGGTTGGGGTCGCCGGAATATCCAACACTTGGTCGTTGTTGGGTTTATATTGGGGGTTTAATTTGCTGCTTCTTCTCGTCTTCCAGAACTGTGCCCCTTCAAAGTTTCCACCACAGCCATCAGACTCCGCGCGCCACCACCACCACCACTTTCAATTATCGTCATCCAAACCACAGAAAGTAAAAAAAACAAAGCGTCTCTCAGTCGAATCTTAATACGAATTCAGGGGTAAGTTAACGGCGTCAGCTCCGGTATTCTTGATATTGGAGGTGTAGCAGCTCGGAATATGGCTCGCTGGAGTGTCGCAGCCACCGCTCCAGTTCCATTGTAGTGTCTCTGTCGGAACGAACAAATTTTAGTTAAAATGTGAAAACATAGAATTAATGTCAAATAAATTTTTAATATTAATGTTACACCAGAACAATATACAAACTACTAGTTTTTTTCTTTTTTTTTTTTCTTTTACCAAATTGTCCTACCATTTCGTTGCCCTACCCATTCTCTACCAAATTAATATCATACCCTATTGTACCCTATTGAAATGTTTTAGTAGGGCAACGGCACTCACTATTTTTAAAATGATATTATCCTACCGTACTGAAATATTATTAATAAAATTTTATTTTAATAATTCGTTTATTATATATAAAAAGTAAACATAGTATTCTAACTAACTATTATTAGTTAAAATTTATTATACTCTTTAAGTATGTCAAAAATATTTTAAATTGCTTTCATTAATGATGATATAATTTATGTTCAAAGTTTTTATGTTATAATTTTATTTAAAAAAAAAATATATTAGGTAAATTAAGAACATATATTTAGAATACTTATATTTTAAAAACTAGTTTTGTATATTTTAAACATGTATACCTTGAATTGCTTTGAAAAAATAATATTTAATATAGACTGAAATAGTAGATAACATAAATTGGTATATAATTATTATTACCATACCCTACCGTACCGAATTTTTGGTATACCGAAGTTTTTGATAGGGCAATAGTAATTAATTTCATAATACCGAAATTTCGGTAATGGTAGTGATTCGAGGGGTTTGGAACGATTGCCCTACCAAACCCAACCCTACAAACTACCATTAAAACTCCATTTTTTCTTTTTAAACAATTCTTTAAACTTTGTGCATTCTACAAGTAAAAAGTTTCGATTAAGGGTGAAACTATAAAGTATGAAAATATCTCTTTACCTTAAAAGAAATAGAAAAATAACTATGATTAGATTGCAAATTTTGAAAACTTAAAACCTAATTATAATTTTTCCCGATTGTTCCCTTTGTCTAAGATCAAATGACATTTAAAGTAGAGTAAAAAGCAGTTTGCCCCCTAAACTAAAGGCCGTTTTGCACTTTACTCCCCAAACAAAAAAAATTTGCACGTTTTTACCTAAACTTGTTAATTCGTTGCACGTTGCCCCCTAAACTAAATTTTCCGATAAATTTGACCGGAATGCTAAAACATGTGCTTTGCACGTGATATTTGCAGGAATAAATTTGTCCCTTCACCTACATTCTATATATTAAATATAAAAATAATAATTGAAATTAAAAAAAAAAACGTCATCTTCTTCCCTTCACCCACCACCCCCAAACTCATCCCCCTGCCAAAAGTTCCGTCTACCACCGTAAACCTGAACAATAGGAAAAATCGTAGGCTGCAACAAACCGATCAGAAAAATCCTAAATCCCAAATTCACCAAAACAACAACCAAATTCGAAGTCGAATCAACATTAAAATAAGCATTACAGGCCCAACACAGACAAACCACCGCCTCCGACCCTCTTTCTTAACAAACTCTGCTCACCTCCAAACACAATCAAGCTGATAAACGAAAGTGATATCTCGAAAGCGGAAGCATACGGCAGCGGGTGCAGGGAAGAGACGAACAAGAGGAAAACGGAGAAGATAAAGAAAAAGAAAACGGTGGTAAAAGGGGAAAAGAAAGAGGGTTTTGGAGAGGAAAAATAGAGAAGACTGATTGGAGAATCTGCCATAGTAATTGTTTCTTGATGATGGTCGTACGGGAGCCGCTGCCGCCGGCACCGTCTTTGTCCTTGAACAGTTTCCGATCTATGGCGACGGAGATTAACATGTAGGAGATTTGCTCCACCTCCATCACCGCCGTCCTTACAATCCCTTTACCGCGGCTGCAGTCCTTTCAATCTCTCCAGGGCGGCGGAGAAGATTGACTTTTTGATTTGAGTTCGGATGTTTTTGGCTGGGGCTTGGGGATGGGTTGGGGTTTGGGATTGGGAGGGTGGTGCTGTGAGTTACAGCACGTTTTTTTTTTTACTTTTTTTTTTTTTTTTTGCTTATTTATTTATTTAAATGATTAATTTATATTTAATAAATAGGATGTACGTGAATGGACGAATTTATCCCTGCAAATCTCACGTGCAATGCACATGTTTTACCATTCCGGTCAAAATAGTCGGAAAATTTAGTTCGGGGGGCACCGTGCAACAAATTAACGAGTTCAGGTAAAAACGTGCAAAAATTTTTTGTTTGGGGGGCAAAGTGCAAAACGGTCCTTAGTTTAGGGGGCAAACTGTTTTTTACTCTTTAAAGTATTTGAGCTACCTGGTAAATAACACGTTGCACGTGACTTATGATTTTGAAAATTATTAATAAATATAAAATATGTGTTTTCATTAAATATAATATTACTAAAATTATATAGGGGAGAAAGTATAAAAATGAAAGCTTATTGCAACATTACTGTATAGTTAATTAATATATAATATAAATCTAAACAATATTTTCTAACATAGATTCATGACTATAGAAAAAAGGAAAAATCTTCATGCTTGTTCTTAAATTTGCACAAATATTTTTTTTATCGTAACTTAATTTAAATATATGTGCAAAATTTATTATTCTTTCAACTAAACCCCTTTTCCTTGTATCTTTTTTGAAAAGTTTATGCATTATCATATACTTAATCAAGTTGCATTGACTTAAAAATAAATCTTTTATATGATTATTTTTTTAATATCCCTTTCCAATATAATATTTATTGTTTTCTTTCCATAGTTTGAATATGAAATCAGGTGCCACTATATCACAGGGGAGTGATATTTGCATTCTATTATTTTAATTTATATCAAAATAAAATAAAATAAAATAAACTAAATTATATAGTTAATCAAATTAAATTATTTTCATACATAATTCACACCTACAAACTATAAGGCTCTGATTGGTTCTCAAAAAATGCCAAATAAAATAGTAAAAAGTCAAAGTAAAATACTTTTCATGTTTGGTTCAACAATAAAAATGGGAGTAAAAGAAAACTAGGAAAACACAGGAAAAAAAGTTACCCTAAAATAAGGAAAATCTTTTTTATTCAAAAGAAGTGATGAAAGCCCTGAGAAAAAAGTAACGGGACTTTCTTCTTCACCTCTCCTCTTCACTTCTTCTTCTCACTTCCGCTTCTTCTTTCATGACTTCAAAATTACCATCTTCTTCAAATTCTCGCCGTC